ATTGAATCCATATTAATTAAAGGAAAAACATTTGAGGACAACTAAAATATGTTCACTTTAAATTAAAAAATACAATTTTCGCAATTACTTGTGATAAAAAATATTAAATTAATCTTTTTGTTACCAAGAAGTTCTATGAAAGAACAACAGCAAACAGAAGGATTTCTTCACTTTTCACCAACATTTACAAACTTACTTTAACATTCGAAAAAAATGGTACAGTAACACAAATTTAACATTTGGTTGGTATATCTTTAGTTAGTACATATTATAATTATTTCTTTTATTAAGATACACAAAAGTTGTTGCTACCGTCGGCAAAGCAAATCGATTGATTCTATGCCACTTATATGGTACAGGGACTTGAAAATAAGATTGTTTGGTTTCGATTCAGAGAAGTGTGGCTCGTGAAAATTTTAATTTAGAATTAAAATAAAATTTTTCAGGCTACATTTTTGCAACTGTTTCAGGTTGTTACAAAAAGAAAATTCTGAATATCGTATCTCATCTCCTTAGTTTGAATCCCAACTATGGCGTTCCAATTGGCTCAAATTTCTTACTTTCTGAATGCTCAATCTTTGGCAAATCAATATACTCGATAATTTCTACTTATTGCTCAATAATTAACAACGTATCCAATCAGCATAATTCCAGCTGAATAAATATATGTATACTATTAAATGGGAAATTGAGTAAATATACATAAAAACAACCTGTAAATGGAACTTAGTCAATATGTAGATATTAACTATGTAATAATGAATAGTCCAATTATTATGTTGGTTGCAAATTACTAATAAACAGCAGGGTGAGCGAAAAACTTTACGCAACAAAAGGTTCGTTCAATCAATATTCATGAGTTGAGTGGCATCCGCTTCTTAGCGGGGAAATAAAGTCCGCCCCGTTGATTGTGGCTTACTGCACCAGTGCCAACTTTTGTCCCGACACCGCAGGCCCTTAAAATAGTTTTGTTTTACAGTTTTCTGAAAAATGATACAACCAGCTTGGCAAATAATTTCTTGCACTATATATCGGTCTAGGGACTCCGCTTGCGGATCGACTTGCGAAGGACTCACTAACAACTAATTCTTATGTACATAATTTTAATGTTATGATATTTGGACATTGATATGTAATGATTGCAATGATTAACCGAATCGAACGCGAACATGCAGGAAAGATAGCTGTTAGACTAATATGCGAAGCATTACTAGGAGAACTAAGCATGCATTAAAAATACAAATACCACTACAATTACTAATTACGAGAAAGGTTGTGAGTATTAGTAATTTAATAAGAGGAAGGGAATTCTAACCATAAACGAATAATTCGATCTACAAAACGGATGGGACAGCGGTACATAGTTTGATAGTGTATCTATTAGGAATCGTGAAGTTTATGCGGCTCAACAAAACCGTCACCCTTGAACAAGTTGTGCACAAAAATCACACCAAGAAGTTTTAAAGTGCGGCTGAACATTGTTTTCTTTTCTGTTGGCTGAACGAACGGATATTTATTATTATCAAAATCTGCAATAGCCTCCACTGGCAACCTTCAGAGCCCGGTGTACGGGTGCTGAGAATAAACTCGCAATAATTGTGCTAAAGAAAGTCTTTGCATTATCGAATATTCTATGTATATTAATTAAAAGCTATGAACAAATTTTGAAACAGTTAAATTCGATCATTAATTTGACTGGTATTTTGAAAACTTTTTAATTATGTTAATTTTCATTATTCCATTAAATAAATGGGTTTTAATTAAATCACAGCATATTGAAAAGAATGCAAATAATTTATATTTTACCGAATTCAAGGGTAAACATTCAAAAAAGTCTAAGACTTTGATTGACTTTATTTTCAATCGATTAACCCCACCAACACAAAATTACAACATGGTTTCATACATACCCGTACGTTCGGAAGGAGATTTTCTATCAATGCACCTGTGTGTTTATGTGTATATGTATGTCTATCCTTTAATATTTATTCAAGCGAATGTATAGTAAATATGTATGAATGTGTACTTACACCTATGCAAACAAAAATGGAATTTGAGCAACTGTTTTTATTGTTGTATTGTCATAATGTGGATATATGTATGTACTGACTTACGTACATACATATGTGACTGTAGCAGTATCAGTTTCCTTCAACAAATATTCTACTTTTTTATATAACTATTAGCTAAAAGCTCTTAGCCAGCAGTTTTGTTAACTTCACTATAGTTTTTTTCATCTATACTGCTACATATAAATAAGTTTAAAGTAAAGGTTATTTAAAGGAAAATTAAAATATGCAAAACTTAATATTTGTAAAAAATGTTAGATTGTAGTTTTTAGTTTTATAATAATTTCCTTTTTTAACGACGTACTACCTAAATAAAGTTTACCAATGGTCCTACGTTTGAATTTGTACTTGACCTGCTCCTTGAATTCTAGTATGCTTGGCAAAATATTTTTAATGACGCTGCACACTTAACTTAACTAATGCTGGGTGCTGAATATGTAACACAGGCTTATCCGTTGGGAAAATGCGTAAAATCGGTGAACAAGTTTAAAGATGAATCACTACACAGAAAGGTTCATTAAAGCATTAATTAAATAGGGTTTTTTAATTACCCAATCCCAGGTAGAGGGGCATCATTTCTCTTCTCGGTGTTGGGATTGGGCTAAATTCAGTTATAAATTCTATTAAAGTTTTACAGATGTATTAGGAAGTTTATTTAGCGAAAACCGGTCAATTCGGACATTGCTTTATTAAGGAAGCATGGCATCTGCTCGTGAAAGGTTTGCTTTTGAGGCCCGATAAAGTTTTTCCAAGAGATACCCAGGCTGGTATTGGCATTCAGGCATCTCTGACGCACAAAACTGACGAAATAAAGATTTCGTACGTGTATGCGGCCGTTTGCCCTTTTTAAGACACCTTCCACCTTGTTTAGGTTGTTAAACGATTGTGTTTACAGTAAAATCGAATGTTACCTTTACTCTGGACAAGCCACCATTTCAGCATACTTGCTTTGTGGTTGAGCATGGGGACTCAGAGGTAGATAACAGTATTTACGATGCACGACCGACCCCAACCCATAAATTTTGATTTAAGAACATTCACATTCGCTTCGTTACGCCCTGATGGAAATCAAATTATTGCGCCCGATAACCCAAAATTGAACCAAATTTATGATTGATGCAATTAAATTGCCATTCTCTGAGTACGTGAACTCTCCACATAAGCTACAGGTGCGTTGCTTGACAAGCTCTCTCAGAAATTGATAAAGGCATTAAAACATTGCAACTGTATAATTTGTGATTATTTACAAAATTAAGCTGTATACATATTGAGAAATTAATCAATAAATTTATTACCGCGTATCTGGAATAAGGCGTATCATCAGTGTCAAAATATGGTTTACTCATATGATGAGATATATGTTCATACATATGTACATATGTATGTACTTACACAAATTTTGTACGCCATATCTTAGCAGTCAGTTTGGCGCATTGGTAACGCTAACCGCAGATACATTTTCTGGCGAAGGTGATTGAAAGATCTGTATTTTTTTTTTTCATTGCCACGAGTCGTTTTAAGCCTGAGCTTTACGCTACACCACCAAGTCAAGTCCTTCTGCTTGAGTTCAATACGATTTTGCATTTTCTTCCTATTGTTCTTTGTTCTGTCAACAAGTTCCCACAGCTGCGTAAAGGCTGGCCCGTCAATTACCAAATTGCCAAATATATTCGCTAATTGCAATTTAGGGCGAGTTAATGCGGCGTTTGTTACCTAGAGACGTCTATTAAAATTTATTTGTTTGTGTTTGTGATTGTTGACACTTAAGAAAGTTCCCGCTTATAAAAGAATGTATGTATTCATTTCCTTCGCCAATGAGCCGTTTCTAGTTATTTTTGGTTCCTTGCACTGACCAATACTTTCTAATTTGTGTATGTAAAAAGGGTAGTGCTAAAAACTAAAGGCGATTATTTTAGCTATCATTTATTTGTACACTACCGACAATAATATGGATATATTGCTAGAGGCTGATTTCGCTGATCCACATTGTATATACCATATGTACACTAATATATACTTTATTGGGAATATACTTTTATATGCTTCCTTTTGTGATTTTGAAAATGTGGATTTGACGAGCTTTTAGGTGAAACTGCAAGGGTATTTTAAGTTCCGTCTAATCAGAGCTAACCATCAATTGGGGACGTACTAATGAACAGTAAATAGGACTCACTACTTGACAAAAAAGTACATTTTTGCATTCTGTGCTCCACATAAAGAAATTACACGGCAAAACAAAGTTAAACTACACCTGAATTAGGAACATGACTGTTCGTTGGGAGCACAGACGACCAACATCAGCTTTGGTCCGGTTACAAATTACACCAGCAAACCTCAGTAAACAGCAGACTCCCTAAAAAAAAAAGGTTGAAATGAGTAGAAAGTATGCCCAAGGACCACAAATTTCAGTGAAGCAGGTGTAGCAGTCTCAGGAAAATAGAACGATGCGATAGTATTTACGTGGTTCGTGCGCAGACCAGCTCTGTAATAATGCCGACAACTCTAAGGGTCAGCAAGACCTCCCGCCTCTGGGAGTCCAAGGGCGTTTCAACCAAACATGTGGACGTGTGACATATGACTGCAGACACTGTGGGGGTGGTGTGGTTTGTGGGTAATCTGACCAAAATACAGCAAAAGTTTAAGCACACCCTTACCGGAGTGGGTCAACGTTTTGATCTTTAGAGGTGAAAATTATGCATTATTTATTTGCATAATTTAACCATAAATTTAAGTTAATATATCGGTGCGTATTTTGATCATTATATTGATGTATTCTGATCATTATACATTATACATAGATCACAAGAAATATTGTTTTTCTTATTATGTATGAAAATTTACTCATTGCGCAAATTTCTGGGTATATAATTAATTATATTTTTTAACAAAAATTGCTTACGGCAAAACACTTTATCATTTAGCGATTTCTTTTTATTCTTCAGTACCAATTATTGACAGATTTCCCTGCGGTACTGCCAGAGAGCCAATGCCCAAATCCGATCGTTTCTACATTGGAGGGCGAAAAATTATTGTTTCCCGATCCAATAGTAGAGAGTGGATTACCAACTCCCGGGTGCGCGTTTCTTGTGAAGTGGCCAAGCTTGGCCGCCTCATGTTCGGTTTTCTGGATTTCCGCAGCAGCTGCATGAGCAGCAGCATGTGCCACAGCTGCCTTTGAGGCAGCAAGACGCTGCTGTATCGCCTCAGAACGTTGAATCGCAGCCGCCGCCTGAGACTTTTGCTTCAGTATTACTGCCTGAGTTTGTCTTTCTGTGGCGATGCGTTGCTGATTTAACACGTTTTCCTTAGCCGCTTGTAAATGCTGCTGCGCTATAAGAACATTGGCTGAGGCCTGCTTAGCTACCGAAATAGCGTGTGCAACTTCGTTGGGAGTCGGCCCGATTCCCAGCGAGGTGTGTCCCCCACTCCAAGTGGGCCAACCAAGGTTCCAAGCCCCTCCGTTCAAAGCTCGCGGGCCACTCGTTATAGCCCATGGAATGCTGGCTTCGTCCAAAGCGAGACTCCGCTTTTCTAACGGCTTGGAGCTGGAAGCACACCAGGCACCAGCAGTTAGAACAATTAGTAGAAGCATCAATGGCATAGTTGACCGGCAGCTTCGTGTCTTTGTGAAATGCATTCTTTTGAGGACAACTGAGTTATGCTGAGCTTTGAGCTGTCAGCATTACTATTTATACATAGCTTGGCCTCCTCTCCAATCGGAAAAAGTATCAACAATTACTCACGTAGGAGCGGCGTTATTTGAACGTTTAGTAATAATTTGTAAACTTTCGCTCTTTCAAATTTTGTTGGTGCTTTTCGGCAAGTACCTTACTTACATTTGCCGGAAATGAAAGGGTGCTTTAATAATCCTTATTATTTCAGACCAGTTTTCAAATTGGTCAAAAAGTGAATCGCCATGAAGTTTTTCACTGTTACGTAAGACGTCTACAAAATGAATTTGTCTGTTCTGCGTACTGGACCTGATGATGAGCTGTCGACTCATGGCTGAAATAAAGCTGCCTTTGTAAAGTATTTTTATTGTGAAAAGGTAATTATATCAGCCGCGCCATGAATGTACGTGACCAAAAAGGTATTATTCTGTCAAACAACTGTGCATGGAAGGACAAACTTAAACCTTTTCTGTTCAGCTGCCATTGCAAAATGTTTGCCGTTCATTCTACCCACTTTAATTACCATTAATGCAAGTAACAGCATCGAATTAATTCTGAGGAGTCATTATCTGGGGAATATTGTATTTAATGATTTCTATTTTTATTTATTTAGCATGCGCATTTGGTAGTCAATTTCTTCTCGGGAAACAAATATTATGAATAGATACAATCTAACTCTGCAGCATTTATGCTGACTCGCAATTAACTTATTCTATTGCAGAGATATAGGTAAAAGGACATCAAAATGTGGAATGCGAATCAGCTCCCTACACAGCCGCGACAATTTTATTTGGGGCTCTTATTGATTACGATTTGCGCGGTGCTGTCCGAGGATGTATGTGCAGTGCCCACCGATCAATCGTATGTTGAAAACACGCATGGGCAAGACGGCGGAGGTCTGTACCCCCATATCCAATAGCTTCATTATATTATATTTGTAATTGTTTAACTTTACAGGTATGCAAGCATTGCAAAAAAGGCCCGCCTTCTTTGTGGGAAGTCGCTACGGGCGGTCCAGCGGCAACGCTGTCACCGGCGGTGGGGCAGCTAGTGTTGGTAGCTCGAAAACACGACGTCTCATAATTGTACCACGAAATGATCGTTTTTTTCTTGGCTCTCGATATGGAAAACGGAACGGCGAGTATTTGTCCCCCTACGAGCAAAACAGCCTAAGCCTGGCCCTCAGCAAAGACTCGTCACAGGATGTGGAGCAACAGACATTAAACACCAACAGCAGGTTACGGCCATCCCTTATGTCGTGCGTCTACACAGGCATCAGCAATTACTATCGTTGTAAAGGGTAAGTTTATCTATAGAAATAAATGTACAGGGATTTGCATTTCACTGAACATGGATATTATATTTATTAAACACAGCAGTGACCATCACTCTGCAGTTGATGAAAGTCTCGATTCCACAAGCATGGCAGAAAGTGATGGTGATACAAACAACGTCATCAACTGAGGAAGGAAATCATAAAGAACAAAGAAAAAGAAAAATGCTGGCGATTCATTGACAAACATTCAGAGCTTGTAGTGGCACATGCTTCTATGACATTTAATACGATTCTTGCTATCCAATTGCTTTTCTGCGATTTACTAAACGTACAAGCAAAAAGGTATTAAAACTTTTCAAAGGGGCTGGAAAAAGTTTTAATATTTAACAAATTGATAGATACCCAATGTCGATGTGCCATTAAATTATGGGCAGCTACATTATTTAGTATTTACCGAATTAAAATATTTTAATATGTTGAAATCCGAATTAAGGCGCGCACACGCTCACTGTAAAAATAGACATATAGTACATATATACATAATACGTTTTATTTATGAAAAGGTACAGTACATGCAACAAACATTTATAATAATATTCAATAAATGCAGTTGAAAAAACCAGATATGACTTTTTGGAAATTTTAGCTTATGGGTATTTATCTGAGACATATGTATTTCTGTAGGTATCGAAATAAAGGCTGCACATTCATATAAAACTCTGTCATTGTATAACTAAAGCAATTACATTTGGATGATGCAATTCCCTCACGAATCAGTTCCCCTATGAACATACTTCCATGTGTATGTGGGTCATGTATACCTAGAGCCACAAGAAATTTAATTACCATAGACTCACCCGCACCGCTCTGGCTGCGTAATGAGCAAAAAGACTGAGCACTTACTCGTAAAATGCTTCCTTAAACAATAAATGCAAAATAAAAAAGTACATGCTCAGAGCTGTACACCATACACCATCTTCCGCAGCTCACATTGATTTTAATTGATGACAACAGACAGTGGTATTTTTATATAAGGGCCATCCACCTACAGCATTGCTTAAACTCAAAATTTAAACAACAAAAAACAGAGTGCCTGCTAATTGTATTAGTGCTTGTGCGCAGGCAGCACAGCCATTTAAATTTCTGACATACGGCCAAAAAGGACACACAAGCTTCCAGAAGTTTTGGCCCGCATTAGGACAACTTTTCAGCAACCAGAACGTGGCATCGAGGCGATACTTCCTCATCAAGCAATTTTTCATATCGCACCCTGACATTCACTTTATGTTCGGCAGCAGCTTCCTGAAGATAACACAACCGGTCAAATAATATCACGTTCTCACAGAGCTTCTAAATAATTCAAAAACAAGCCGCTAATCATTTTATGAATAAGTTAAGTAAAATCGCAAATTCATTACCTGCATGGCTGTCTGCAAGCATTGCAAAGCTTCAGCTAGACGGGGACCCTGTTTATCGGTGTATTTGTCGCTTATTGCTATAAAGCGCGTTTTGTGTGTAGGTTGCCACTCTAGCGGAGCGCCTGTCTCCTTTGAGAACAACTGAAATTTTCTCACTATCTCCCAAAATGCATCCTGATTTTCATGAGACGGAAGGATACACTTTTTTGGTTTTACCAATTCATTTGAGTGTCGAACGGAATCCGCCAGTGCACGCGTGTACATCTGATCTCCGTGCTCAGCGTGTTCTTCGTAACTTGTTCGCCGCCAGCGAGCACGCGTTTGTTGGCATGCTAGTCTAAGAAATGGACGATTAAGATATAATTCTGTTTTACATGCTTCTACCGCCTTGCGCAGGGCAATGCTAAGCGGAAAATTTACAAAATTAGGCTGATCAGGGCTATTAACTCCCCCGCCAGCAGACTGCAAAGCTAATTTGTGGTAACAACAGGGCATAATGTGAAGACTTCGCACACGATCCATTTTCAAAAATAATCGCATTGCGTTAATACTCAAATCCGCACAAGCATGCAAGCCTATTATCGACATAGATTTCACCTCCAAGAAGCCGTTATTTTTCGCTAGAGCCAGTGAGTGTGTGTCGATATAAGCCCCTGAGTCAGCGTCAACATATTTTTGCTGGTAGCTAATTGACTTTGTGGCTGCCGATGGTAACCACTGACGACACCGGCTACGTGCCGCCTCCACTCGTGTTTCATCTGCTTCCAATCCAAGTATAGAGCGATTTGGGTCCAGTTCGTATAATGCTTGACTTAGATAGCCCAATCCTGAACCCAAGTCAACCAAAATTTTCTCGTTTAGGCATTGAGTGTGAATGTGAGTGGCAAAATGTTTGATTTCATGCTGTTTTTTTGTCGATATCCTGCGCTTACTGGTGGTTTGGCGTCCCGTTACTTCGAAAAAGCTGTGGTCGAAAGTTTCTTTTGGTGTCAGAGAGGCCAGATTTTTCCGGAAGCTTAATAATGATGTGGGGAAAGAGTCCAAGTTTTCGTAAATAAATGGAAATTCATTAAGCTTTTCGTTTGATACTGCAAGAAAATAGTTTTTCATATCCAGCGGCATTGATTCTATTGAAACAAGACATTCTGTGTTGGCTTTGCGATAAACCCAGGAGTACGAACTCAAAAAATCGACTACTGATTCGAAATACTTCTCAGGATTGGTAAAAGTGTTGGGCATGGCCATTTCTAAGGGATAAAAAAGATAGAAAAATGTAATATTATTTTTCCACTTTATTTAGCTACTAATATTTTTACATAGTACATATACTATACATATAAATATTTAACAAAAGTGAAACACATCGTCTTAACCTTCCATTAAGGAAATACATCGAAATAACAACAATGGATTTATGATGGGTGGCTGAAAAAGTATGAAAGTCTTCCTACGGATATTTTTGAGAACAGTAAAAATTTTAAATACGAATATCTATGCTATGATTTTCCATTTCTGACTAGTTTCCAGTTCCAAACTTTCATTGGCTGGTCCCAAAATGCATTTTCCGTAATTTTTTGATTTCTCCTTAAAGTAACGTTCAATCACGTCGTGGAGTTCATCAATAGTTATAGATAGCATTCGAGAGCGATATTTCACAAACATCTCTTGCGATACTTCATACAAGAAATAATCAATCCCAATATTTCCGGGTGCAATTGGCGAGTCCAGCTGCTGTAGTACTCCGAGTTTCGCCTCAAATAAGGCCTGCTGATCAATCTTACTTTCCGAATGCAACCACTCATATGTTTTTTCAAACGCATCTAGCGTTTTTGTGGAATGGGGGTCACGATAGCTATAGAAGCTAAAAATTCCATCTGAACTTATCTTAGCGCCCGCTCCGTAGGCCCCATTCTGTTCGCGAACCACAGGCAGAAGATACTTAGCCGACACAAGCTTGGCAAGAACGCGCAATGTGGGATGATCTTTATGCAAATATGGGACTGCAAAGAATGCTTTTGCACAGTAGTTGACTGGTATGTTCATGAGGTATTGTTGACAGCTCGGATGTAAGAGTGTAATTTCGCTACTCTCATTCGTTTTTTCTAGAGTGGACAATGTCCCCAAAAAATTCTTCAAATGTTCTAAGGCCGTTGGTAGGTATGATTCTGAGCTGTTGATAGCTACACGCATATTGCTCTTATTAAAAACCTTTGTGCCTATTGACTTTAACTGGTCTCGAATGTCCGCAGTGTTGTTTTTCTGCACAAAATTCTTCATGAAATCTATGTGATCAACTCCTGATAACAGAGACTTCAATTTACTTGCATTACTAACTAACGCTGCCGCTCCTAACATAGCGTATAAGTGACCAGAGCTAGCGATGCCTATTGATATATTGGATATGTAGTTTTCAATAAGCATTTTCAGACGGTCCGTGTCTTCAAGCTTAAAGTTTCGCAGCAAATCTTGGCACAGTAAAAACATATCAGGCACATTTTTATCTAGTGCATGTGTTGTCATCATCAAGCTCAGCCGGTAGCTTTTGGCGTCTTCAACATTTTCGACGAAATTTAACTTGAAATCAATTCCAGCAGTCTTAGAGAGTACGAGTTTGTCAAATTCACGAAAATCATGCTGGGTGGTTCCCATGTCATTGATAATATTGCAAAATAATGGTACGAGCTTTACTTCATCTTCACTCAGACCAGTTATATTAAATAGACATTTAAAATAAGTAATCTCGTTGGTCGGAACTTTGCAAATTTGAGTTTGAACTTCTTCAATAGTTTGGATGCTTAACTTTGGCCAATTCGGTGACTTCTTCACATCGCTAAGCGTAAGACAGGGCAAAAGTTCAGTATTCGGTGCAGCCTTTTGAGAGGCGTCCAATTTCAACCCATTCTGATATATTTTTTCCAACTTTTCATTATCGAGCGCACTAGTTTTCTGCTCTAGCATTTCCAATTCAGCCTGTTTAAAGTTTTCCTCGTACAACTCGTCAGGCGACATCGTAAGTGTAAGTTTGTGTGAATTATTTACAAAATATGTGTTCATTTTTTCTTGGAAATAATTCTTATTCTGCCTTAAACAAGTTCGCAGCCTTGCTATCATATCCGAAACCCGAAGGTTGCTAACTACATCGCCATCATGGTTCCAAAGTGCTGTTGAGTTAAATAACAAAGCATTGCCAAAATGTGGACTTTGATGTTTTAGTGATAATTCAAGATTATGGAGAATACTTTCTACATGTTGGGACTCAAATCCCTCTTTCATGGCTTTGCATATAGTTTGGCTAAAGATGTCGTTGAATTTTTTGAATTCTTCAACACGCAGGTCTTGCAACCCCACAACGAATGCCGTATCCTTGGTGTCTGAAGAATACCCTGTACTCTGGTTGTAGCCCCCGGAAAAGTTTGGTTCTATTAGGCTCTTGTAAAAGGCAGAGTTAGGTCCACGGATCAATATTTCGGATAGGACTTTTAATTCAAAGGTTTCTTGTATGTTGGTCATGTCGCACATAAGCACAGCAATGGCAATTTGGTTCTGTCGATCAAAAGCAGCGCCCATATTGTCCAGTCTGCTGGAAATGTGTACATGCCGTGGCTGTGACCATCGCGGTTGTAGCGGGATACGGCTATAAGAGTTGTCTACTCTGGTGTGCAGAGATAAATATTCTTTATCAATAAGCGAGAGGGTCTTTGTCAAATCGAAAGAACCATAAGAGTATACACGGGCGTTACTTGGATGATAATATTTGCGATGGAACTCAATTAAATCCGTGTGCGTTAATTTGGGTATCTCCAATGGATTTCCTCCGGATACATGTCCATACGTGTGGTCGGGTAAAATATTATTAAGGAGATTCTGTCCAAAAACCAAAGAGTTCTCCGAAAACGCGCCTTTCATTTCATTATAAACCACACCCTTGATGACCAGTTCAGACTTCCGATTATGTAATTCCTTGTTTTCTAATCGCCAACCCTCTTGAAGAAAATCCAAATACGCAAGGTTAGGGCTATAATAAAGAATTTTCAATATTTTTTTTTATGTTTTAACATATATATGTATGTGGACTTACCTAAAAACCGCATCCAAGTAAATACGCTGTAAATTCCTAAAGTCCACTTCATTCATGGTTGAAAAAGGATAGAGTGTGTAATCTGGACCTGTCATGGCATTCATGAACGTGGCTACAGAGCGATTAAGCATCTTGAAGAATGGGTCACGGACGGGATAGTTTTTTGAGCCACATAACGCTAGATGTTCCAAAATATGCGGAAGACCAGTGGAGTCAAAAGGTGTTGTCCGAAAATTGATCGAGAATACATTGTTTGCGTCATTTCGATCGATATGCCATAGTTCCGTGCCAGTTCCTTCATGTCGCAGTGTGTAGGACGTAAGATCAAAGTCAGGTATTCGTTCGACGCGTTCACATTGGAACCCATGATACAGCTTGCCTTCATTAAATTTGTATTCATGCTGCTGTATTAAATGTGGGACTTCAAGCTGAGCTGGGGACGCTACATTCGCTTCCTTTGTCTTTGCATCGCTCAACATGTCATCAAAAGAGGACACCGGTTTGCAATTTGTTCTTCGTTGAGCACGCAACACATTCGTTCTATGCGGAGCCAATCTCAAAAATTTCAACCGTGATAACATTGTATTTGGCTACGAATGATAAACACACAATATAAAAATTCAGATGATTCGCAGATGAAACCATCAGACAGAATAACTAGTAAACAATTAAAATGGCAACACGCGTTTGAGCTGCAGTTACATCAGCCGGAATCCATTGAATTCACATATGTAAATTTGTTCTTTTCTATGTTATAAATGAGTTCCGATGACAATATTTTCAGAAAAATAAATATACACATATCGAGTTACTAAATTGATTTAACTTACCTATGAAACAAACAAGATTATTTTTAGTTTATAAATTCAACAAAGTTTTTCTGAACTAGAATATGTGTGACCAAGTCTTTTTAAGGAGACGATTATAGTTATCGGTATCAGCTGTTTATAGATATATATATGAATCAGTGTTGCCATTTTGGCCTATTTAAGGCTAGATCTACTTAATTTGAAAACGGAAATGATTAGTCCCTTGGCAGAATACAGATGAAACTACAAAGCTTTGGTCAGAAGTACTGACTTATAAAGATTCTGGCAAAAGCAAAACTTTTGGAGAAATCACTTTATTTGGCATTGGAATTTTAAGTCCACCGTGGTCAAATGCTGTGATTGAACGGGTATTCAGTCAAATGAATATCGTTAAGACCAAACTTAGGAACAAAATTACTGTTAAATATTAAATATAAGGTTTGTTTTAGAAATATTTAATTTTGTTATGTATACGACTAACATTCTTTTGAAATTTAACGGATATGGGTTGCGCCGTCATGTGGCCGCAACTACCGCAACTACCAGGAAATATCTAAATTTAATACATTCCAGCGATAAAAATACGGATTGGATTAATAGCGAATTGGATGAAATAATAACACAATTAAAAATGTATATATCTATGTGCTGCTTGATTCGTAGCATATTTTTTAGACTGTATTTTTACAATTTTAAGCTTGTTCTAGCTTGTATTTTTGTGAAATCTAGCATATTTATCTAAGTGCTATCGGTTTAATTACTAATTAATTGTTTTATCATGTAAGTATATACAAAATTTCAAAATTTTAGCGAATAACATGGAGATCTGATAATGTTCGTATCTATGGCATTACCTGCCAACAGGCACATCTAAATTATTGGGCACGTTGACCAACAGAACTTTCTCAGGGAACAGTAATGAATATGATACAATGTCGATTATTAATGACGTTCACGCATACATTCGAGCAACAGATATAGCGTAGATATGGTACGTTCCATATGATCACTAATAGGCTATTCACACTGACGGCCATCCACCATCCATTTCGGGGATGGTCCGTAATAGGCTATTCACACTGACGACCATCCACCATCCATTTCGGGGATGGTCCGTAAGGTTTTGCCGTTCCGAAAATTTCCCAGTTAGTTCACCATCCATTTTGGATGTTCGTAAACCGCACGTTTCTATGCGATAGTTAGCCGATGGTTTTCAAATGCAACTCTGAATAATTGTCATTCACAATGGAAAAATGGTATTCACTGCGAAAACGTAAACAATGATTTTGACAAAATTAACAAA